ATACGACCCACGGGGCAGCTGATCAGGCCGTTTTTCATTTTCCATTTACACGATATATATATTTGAACTCTTCGGCGATTACCACGATGTCCGTTGATCGAACGCTTTGGAGTGATCGAGAAAGGTCCTCGGAGAATTCATCCTTGATTCATTCACATACTACGTATCATGTATATATTATTTACATATGAATGACTGGAAAAAATTTCCTGGAAGCACGCGACCAGTTTCGCGGTTCTTGCCACTCGTCAGGCATGCAAATCCGATAATCTTTTGTCAGTTCATTCATATACTTGTACCCAGGCAGTGTATTTTCGTCAGAACAACCTTGTTTGCAACAGCGGGTGACTATTGTATAGACAGCTTTTTCAGAGCCAGTCCATCGAAGAATCAACGCTATGATTCGGTGTTTTGTAAGTGGGTTAGATACCACTACAAACAACAAACGTGACGTGATGATCTTTGTAGAATATTTCATAATAAGCAGTATATATATATATATATGTATAACGTGTGAGTACACACCGTGTGCCAAATAAATAATAAATAAATAATAAGAAAAATAAGAAAAATAAGAAAAAAAAGAAAAAAAAAGGAAAAAAGGAAAAAAAAAGAAAAAAAGAAAAAAATGAAAAAAAGGGAAAAAAGAAAATAAGAAAAATGCTAAAAGGAAGAAAATTGCCAAAGTAGGGAATTTTTCATCGGAAATCCACAACCAGAGGCTTTGATTAGCCAAAACNGGGTAGCGGGTTAGTATGTTAAAAAAAAACCCAATTCGTTAGGGGCCGGGATCCACTTCATCGGAGCATGCGCCCGCGAGATGGGGTCAAACGTCCAAGGTGCGCAATATACATGGATATCCTATCAAGACGATGATCACTGCCACAGCCAGGAAGTTATTTGTGTGCGATTCGTACGCTTCTTCTTGGTTGGTTTGGGTTGTTAGCCAACCTTCCGAGGTGAACTTTTTTATTGCACACTTTCGTGTGATGAACAGCAGACGGGATAAACCATATAGTCAGGAAAACTAGCTGTTCAGTGACGAACTACCAGTGGTCCACCGACCCAGTTATCGCTTTGGCTTTTCGTCCTCTCATTGTGGTGGGCAAACATCTCCGGTGGGGCGCAATTATTCCAAGTTTCCGTGTTTGGAATTATCACGTAACCTGATTGCCAAACAAGTCAAACCGACTGATAGTGGTCATAGTAAGAACGGATAGAAAAACAGTACATTTGATGACTTACTTGTCGAAAATAGCACAGCTCGTCACGGGTACGATCCAGGCCACTTTCGGCAACTTTGTTATTCAGACGGAACGACTCTTTGTCAGCGAGGGATGAGTACAGAACGTCCGTATCTACCGGAGCTGAAGATCCGGCCAGGGCGGACAGTATACCAGCCGCCTCTTGTCCCCACCAACTCTGAAGAGAGCGTGTGCATTTGGCTTCAATTTCCCGGAAAACCTGAAAATCACAACGGTAGAACAAATTTGGATCATAGATGTTCCAGAAGCGCGGATAGTCATGAAGAGTTCAAATCAAAAGTCCACACAGTCGAAACCCCGTTTTTGATAACTCCGTGTTCTTTTTTTCAGCACTTGATCTACCACAACGGAATAAAATTTGTCTTAGTATTATATTCAAAGTTGACTGTCTGAAAATTAGCAATGTGCTGGGACATATGGAGTGTTTCTTAAAGTTATGTTGCTTTCTGGTGATCTAGGCTGAAGAAAAGTGGATAATCTTGAGATTCCCGCCCGAATGAAGCGTTTGAAAAGAGTCACACATGCAAGGCGGCACACCGGAGATGTGAGTCCGCAATTCATTGCACATCGGTGTTCAGTTGATCGGGGTATACAAAGGTACAATTTTTAGGAAGGGGGAAGCGGCCAATCAAAGGCCTGTCAGACAACACACAGAGGATGCGGAAAGGCAGGCGGTGGTGCTGGGAGTCGAACATACGTCCTCCTGGGTGATAACTGGTGACGTTAACGCCGAGCCACCACCGCACCTCAATGAATAATCGAGGTGGTAACCGTTGCGAGAACCAGGAAGGTGATTCAGACGCCTCTTCCTGGTTGGTTTGCAATCCCGGTATAATACCGGAAACTCTTCTAGGTGAACTGCAAGTCACACGAAGTCGGTCGATAAAGTATGGAAACGAAATCGTGTGTAACTGTGGGGTTTTAGTTGTAAGCGTCTGTCGGAAAAACAGCACCATCGATGCATAAACAAAATTTGGAATCCGGAAAATGCAGTCGGTCTACACGTACGTAACACAAATCGATGGATAAATTCGCAGCTAGACGAAGATCATTACATAGCGTTTATAGTTTTAAACAGAGAATAAAGTTTTGATGGCAGATTTAGAGAGAGAGAGAGAGGAACGACTTATTATCACTAAGAAATAGGCGTTCCTACGAGTGAGTAAAAAAGTAATAAGAGGTAGAAAATGTTGGGTAGATACATGCACACACACACACACAGACCAGAAAACTTTGCCTCACAGAAAACCCGTTCTTTGATGTGATTTAACACGTCGTGTCCAAAATTCTCAGGCACTTATTGAGCGAATCTACTCTCTGAACTGACCTCACGATCAGCATGACCGACACTGAGTAATATGGCTGTGTTGCAAAAGGTGCCGCCCATACATCTTCGCACTTTCTTTGCAAGTGAAATTTATCAGAAATCTTCCAACATCCGAATGGGTAAACAAAAGACTGATCGAAACCCACCACACAATTATACACTGTTTCTGGTTCTATGAAATGAAACTGAACTGAAAGCTTCTCACCTGCTCGTTTAGTTACTCTCTTTCTAACGTTTCTTTTATGCCTAGTACTATTACAAGCTACAATCTTATCCATTCATCATAAACCGGATTAGAATTCGTGGGAAAGTTTTGAATTTTCACGCAGCGTTCAATGAGCGCTTCACTATGCACTTCGGACCTCAGGCAGGAAATCCGAAATCAGAATTTTAGACACATTGTTTGGCATTGTACTCATCAGATAGTGAACGCTAGCTCGATTTCTGCCGTTCCGAAAACCAAGAGGCTTGTATTTCGAGTCAAGCCGAAGTAGGGACGTTTTGAATCAGTCAGCATCAGTCCGTTAGATCAGGGTCCAATAAGCAGTATAGCTTGTGTGGTGAGACAATGCAGATTCTCTGCAACTGGCAGGAATTCGAAGATGTTATCCATGGTCGCATAACGGTGCAAGAAAAGTACGTAAGATACACTCCATGGTCCAACTTGAAGAGTGTAATGGAAAAAGTGACTCTTATATCACACAAGTCCGTTTCGGAGTGTGGCGAACGACCTCCGAGGTACTGTTTACAGTAAAGACTTTGTCAATCGATAGCTATCTTCAAAAATTTTAGACAACCATCTGTTTCGTGGAGATCATGACTGTCTAAGCCTCACTCGATTCACATAGTTTATTATGAGTGTGAAAAAAATCGCTGTTGACGCTGAATCACCACCTGAAAATTCAACTCGCATTGATATGCCATTTCATCAATGTATCTTTGAGTTACTAAAGGGAAACTGAACAAACTGTCAGCGTTAATTTACCTCCAGGTGGGAAAACCGGACAAGCAATGACGAGGTTAGGAGCAGAGCTTTAGTTTACCGCAGTTGCCCATTCCATAAATACGCAGGTGTTATGCATATCACTAAATAGGATGCCACGGTGCGCGTTATTTGCCGAGACAGGTTATGGGTGGAAAACAAGAAATGGGTGGTTCAAATAACGTCTGGCATGAGGGTGTGAAAACCCTGATCAGGATACCAGCTCACAGATCACATTAGGCTTCCAGCGTTGGAATCTCTGGATCAGTTTGACCAATGGTTAGAGACACTGAGTGATATGGCTGAGTGTTCTAAACAGTAGCGCTGGTGCTTCTACTCAACGTCATTGATACTCCTTTCAACATTATAGCCTTCCTACTACCTTCTTATCCAAACCGGCAGTCAACAAACAGCCCCCAAACCGCTACATGAAAGTGCATCGTTAATTATGGTAAAAGCTGAAACTTTAGCTTGATGAATTGGATGTACAACTACGATCTTTCCTGCTCTGAACAGTTAGAATGTTTTTGTACGCCAAATCTGACTTTTTTAATACAAACCAATGTGCAATGAACAGCAGACGTAGCGGACCCCATAGTTACGAGGACCTGTTGTTCAGTGATGGTAACCAGCAACCTGATCCGCGGGACTTGGAGTGGAGAATCACATAAGGCTTCGCTAGGTCAGGCGCGGTATTGAACCAGACGACAACAAGGCTGCCTACCACTAAAGTTGGGTAGCGGTGGCAGAGCCCGAACCTCGGATCACGGGACCCAAAGCACGCCAGTGACAGGGACTAAACCACTGCGCCACCAGCATCCTCTTCAATGCTAACTCAGCACTGCTTTGATTGAACTTTTCTCGCTTACGTGTATCTGAAAGTGGATGTCTTCGCAACATCAACTACGATAACAAATTTGGGGTTCGAGTAACCCAGGCATAAGAACAAATGGAAAAGAAGGGAAAATGGACTTGGACCAATCAACACCGTGGGAAGTTGCCGGTAGTTTGTTGATGTTATTGGATCCGTGGGATCAGGAAAGCAATCGTCAATTTCAATCAACGAAACTGCTTGGATTCAATCAAGAGTATTACGCTCATTGAGCAGATGTTCCCACTGAACACTAGTGTATTGTGTTAATTAAAGTCTTTTTATTGATTTGGGCTGACTTTTCTTCGAACTTCACCTTCACGCAAAATCCTCAGCTCATCGATTTAACCATACACTGGGAAGCACTAGAATCGAGTTTCACTCTTATTAGAGCTAATCAGTAGTGCATTTCCACCGTCCCGTCCGGGATTTGAACTCCGAGCCCATCGCATGGAATGCGTGTGCGTTACCACTGTCCCAACTAGCTCATACCATGGCTGAACCAAATTGCCAATTCACGCTTGTTCAGGTGTCGTCCTCAGTGACAGTCAGTTCATTTTGGCCCGACAGCAACGAAGGGAGACACAGATGACAATCTGTTAACTCCAATCGAAAGCCTCCCACAAAGTCAGGACTTCCATGCAGATACACACTGACTCGCCAACGAACCTACAAGGCTGGATTGATATTTCTCATTTGAGTCACAATTACTTGTGAGTAGTGGTGTGGGATAGTTGATTTTTATTGATTTGAGACACACTCAAAAATATGAACTTCAGAGAAAACTGGAAAATTCGGAGACAGCTGATGAAATATCGGTAAAATGAACTAGAGTGACCTCTCACGGAGCAACGTCCTGACAAAATGATAAAACAATGATGGGCTCACGATTGCGATAACTGACAGCACACGTTTTGATGACGATGATGATGGAGCGTCTTAGATCACAAAGACCATTTATTGTGATAGTCAGAAATTCACAGTCCATAAGATAAAACAAATAACTTCGTGCAGCCGGCTAATCGGCTTATTTACTTTCCAACTAGTACCTCGTGTTAAGACCATGAGGAACCACAATCAGTGAAACCCGTGGGGATAAGCTCCGTTTGGACAGCGGGGACCAGGCCATAGGTGTTTCTCCTTCCTGTGATCTACTGTCTTACTCCCATCAAGCCCCCACGCACATTCATCTCAAACCCATTTGTGACAGCAACCACAAGTGCCGCACGAAAGCGTATGGTTAACGGTTGCAAAAACTAAAACTGAAACTATAACATATCGTCTATGTTGTTTATCGCTTGCTTGCGGACTGTATTCTAGATCGGGATTGCGGCTCGACACCTGGGATATACAAACTAACCTCATGTTTTCTTTTAATCGGGTGATTGTTTTACGAGTTCGTGTTTCATTAAGTTTATAACCACATTCTGGATAAAGTACAGAGACGTTAATGACAATGCAAACAGACATTACACGTAATGAGACAGCTGATATTTGAACACAATTGGTGAGTATGAACACGGAAAGGAGAACTATATTTGGCTGAGAAAGAATAACAAGTGACTTCAGGATAAAAAGGAACTTGATAGAGATTCCTAGAGATGAATTCACATATTGAAATATTTTCCCCGACGCAGTAACCAAATGGATTCAGTTGGGCACGATTGTTCACTTAAAAGAACTAAGATTATGCACAATGCAAAATACTATCACGACCAGACTGTATCTTGACGTGGTGTGATGGCTTGTGCACCTCTATGACAGAACGAGCTACACAGCATGGCTT